TGACGTTATAAGTGGCGGTGTGTGTGTGTGTGTGTGTGTGTGTGTGTGTGTGTGTGTGTGTGTGTGTGTGTGTGTGTGTGTGTGTGTGTGTGTGTGTAATAGAACTTCAGAGTTGCAACACTATGAAAGGTGCAGGGGCCTGAGGTGCCCTCAGAGGTATAGGAAGAGAGGTCCTGTCACCTCCGGCCACCAGAAGGGCACCAGGTTAAGGAAAGAAGCATTAACAGCTCTCTGACACTAAGGTCTATTCTTGGGTAACTTGAATCTCTTACACTGACTCCGCCCCATACCAAGCCCTCAGTTAGCTCACTGAAGCTCTTTCTGTGAAGAGGACAGAAGCCTACTCCTTTTCAGGTTTTGTAACATTAGATTCATGCTTCCACTCCCATTGCTCCTGTTCTTTTATTAGTTTTCCAATGCAGCCTTCAGTACTCTAGAATGGATAATTCATTTTCTACTTTCAGAAGTGAATCCTAATTGGATTCGTTAATACTTCTGCTGCTGGGTAACAACAGGAATTAGTCAGAAAGGCCTACATTCCTCAAGCACGGACTCCATACCAGGAGACATTATTGTATGGTATTTAATAGTAGCTATGGGTTCCACATACCATAATGGCATTTACTAAGTAAGATGTAATGTGGGTTGTCACATATTCTTTGTATTTGTATGGAGACATAGTGCCTTGGATCCCAATTGAAACAGGCAGAACTTTTGTCTATAGAGAGACATTCCTGGCTGTGGTTCAGGACTTCTCTGTCCCCTCACTGTCTTTTTCAAGTCATAACTCCCTTTTATAATGGCCAAGTAACCTGTGACCACGCACCACATGTGCATAAAAAGAACCCCACCAAGCAGCTCCTCTGCTCATGGGTAGTGGGGGAAGATCTCAGTCTTTGCCCCACACAACAAGCCATGTCAGAATCCTGCCCAGTCATCTCTTGGGGGGCTTTGCCCAGCTATTGCCACCACCTCCTCCTCCTCTGGTGGGCAGCAGCGGTCACTGTTTCCCCTTGCTGCTTTGCTGCTGCTCCGATGGAGGAGGGAACTGGACCTCAAAGAATGCCTTTGCTACCACCAGTGGCTACTCTCCACCATGAACACAGTCTAAAATAACCAAGGGAATCCCCCCAAAAAACAGCTTGCAACCTTCTTGGGGGCAGTGATCCACTAGTTGGGAAACTGTGGTCTAGATAAACAGAAATACATTCTGTATTTTGGTCAGCATGTCTTCGCCAACAGTATAGATAACACGCAGCATAACATTACAGCTTAAGATATAGTCCTATTTAGGAACGTCTCTCACTGAGATTGTCAACTCAGAGCCTGGAAATGTTACTTTTTCGGTGGGGTGGGAGACTAAATATGTCAAAAAAACCAGCCAGCATGGCCAATCAATTAATACTTCCAAGCTTTGTGTGCTAGACTTCAAACTGCAGGTTTGGGCTTACCATACAAAAACCCAGAAAAAAATAATGACCATAAAGAAAATGTGATACCAGATTTCCGGCTTGGCCTTCTACCTGACATGCTAGTTTTCTGTATCAAGCAGTTTGTGAAACCTTTTTGAGTAGCCTTTTTGTCTAATAAAGAGCTTTATTTGGAAAGCAGAATATATAGACTTTTGCAGCACAGATCTAAACATCTCAAGTCACAGATGTGGCTTGATTCACATTGGCATAACCTGTACATTGAAAAGCATAAGCTTTTGAGGTAAACAGTATAAAACATCTGAAGAATTTGCGCAGATTACATGTACAAATGGATTTAATGGTGCTTCATCCAATGCAGTTTTATTTTCTCTGTTTTGAACACTAATCGGCAGTGGACATACATTTTTCATGTTGGAAGCAGAAAGTCATGGATATCTGCAATATCTTGAAGTAGAATGAATTATTGCAGATAATCATGGCACAACTGATGGTGGAAAGTTTGTTTCTCAAGATATATGTATATATATAGGTAGATAGCTACATTCAGCCAGACAAATATTAAATGCTTATATAATATTTGTCTGGCTGAATTTAAGATTTATTGGAAGTTTAGAAAGGGTGGGTGATCTTTAGAAAGATTCATTGATCAGAATCTGAGTCAGAAAAGATTTAAGATGTGAAAAGTCCACTCACTTCCAAGGAAGAGTATAGGGTTAAAACTCTCTCCTTATCCTCTATGCCATGGAAGCCATAAATGCCCTCTCACATATTATTTCTGCTCACAATTCATTCTCAATGCACCTTGGTCTGTCATTCCTTGTTGTGTCAAGATACTACAATTAACAGAGCTAAGTTGCCTTAAATGGTAATATGTTGGCCACCCTACCCAAACCACTGCAGCTGCTTATTTTGAATACAGAAAATTTGAAATTGTTTATTAATACAACTGTTTTGACTAATTGATTTACTGGATGTCCTTCTATAGACAAAAATATATGCCTATTTTCCATGATTAAACTAGCTTACCTAAGGTTGTATATCTTTATGTGTAACCCATACCTGCAAGGTATTATGGAAAAAAATTCTCAAGTGTTACAGAAAACATGGAATACATATTCAGATTTTTAAGGCCAATGTTATGCTTTAATTCCATTCAGCTGAAGACACATTTGATAACGGATTGATTAGGAGTGCCTAAATACTGACTTGCACAGTTGAGCACCTTGAGCACTTAGTTTCCCCTAAATTTCTGGAGTCTACCAACTACAAGGTTGTCCTCTGTTAGTGCCCTAGTCATTGCAACTTGTTAACACTTACAGAAAAATACTTTATAAAGAGAATGATCAGTCCATATAGCTATGCATTTTTAAAAACAGAACTGCATACCTTAAACTTCTGCAATCTTGGTAGCGTGGAGATTTCTGTTTTTTTTTTCAGATTTTCTGATCCTGACTTTGTGATGCACGGAACTGCCTATGTTCCTGTGAAATGTCCAGAGCAAAGAGGTTAGTCAGTGATATATTGGTCTCTCTAATCCCTTCATCTCCTCCCTCCTACAACTGGGTGCTTTGTCTAGCTCTTAATACTGAGCATATATATGACATCAGTGATCCCTAATCAAGACAAAGGCAGAGGGAGAAAAATATGTGATGTAATCTAACAGTGATTAAAAGGATCCTCTCTTACATAAGAGTTTCTCTGATTTAACAAAAAAATAATAATTACAACCTACCATTTTAAATCAGTTAACCTTGTACATACTTTAAAACAGTGGTTCTTAACCTTTGATACTCGGATGTTTTTGAACTGCAACTCCCAGAAACCCCAGCCAGCACAGTTGGTGGTGAAGGCTTCTGGGAGTTGCAGTCCAAAACTCCTGAGTAACCCAAGGTTAAGAACCAGTGCTTTAAAATATCAATACAACAGGCCATGTACAATCAGATAAATTATTACAAACAAACCTGTTCTAACGGCCAAAATGTACCTGAAGAAATTAGATTATGAAATGCTATTCTTGCATCATTTATAGTTGGATCCTATGCATGTCTACTCTGAAGTAAGCCTTATTGTTCTCCATGGAACTCACTTCTTGGGAAACACACATTGGCTTGCAGTAAGACCACAGTTCTTTGAATGTTTTCCCACCAGTAAGCCCATGTAAAGAACAGATAAATCATGGTATGTCTTCTAGAGAAAGCAGAAATTCCTTCTGTTTACACAAAATGTGTCATATATTTCTTCATCTTGCTCCTTCAAAATATTTAGGTAATCACTGCCTGTTATGGCTATAATCTGATGAGCACTGAAGTCCCGCTGGATATACTAAGGCCCCCATTTGAGTAGACTGCAGTGCAAGCATTTTTTTTAACTTTTAATTTTTGTAGACAGGAGAGAGATTAACATGTAACCATGTAGAAATGTTGCTACTTAAACTCGGGACCAAACTTTCAGTTGAAGACTGGTCAAACGAAACCTCTGTTTATTAATTTTAATCAGAAGAGGTGTCAGTCAATAACATCCATGTTTGTTTGCTTTAGACTAGTTCATTTATGATGAAATGAATAACAAAATACTAAAGATTCCCCTGATACAGGCAGGAAGTTTGAGATTTCCCCCCTGCTCAGCCAACAGCAAGTGCAGGTGTCCCCTATATTCAGATTTGTAGTTCAGTGCTAGATGTCTTGTTTCATAGGGTGGATGGCTGGCCGTCCCCATTTCTTTTTTCTATTTATAAATTACTACACCTGGTGAAGATCTAGCAATCCTGTGGGAACCAGATTTTTTTTAAGCCACTCATATATCCCCATTTCCATCCATGGAAAGTTGGAGGGTGCAGTCATATGTGACTAGCACTGAATCATGAATAATGTTTGCCTTTTAAAAATGAATGAAAATATGTGCTAATTAATTTGTAACTAGAGGCCTAAAACCACTGTTACAGCCTAGAAATAACAGAGTTGAAGTGAGGTCTGGGCTATGACAGAGCCTTTCCTCATCCATGCCAGTTCTTTCAGCTACAATGACACTGTTGCCAGAATGTGGATACTTGGACCCATCATACCGGCTGGTGCGTGTGTGTGTGCTGTGGGTGGTAGTCCAAACAAGTAACTTTCATTAGTTCTGATATCAGCTTTTCAGAGTGCACAGCTGCTGCCAGCAAAGCAGAGAGGGAGACACCCTTCCTCCTGGTCTGTCATGTCTCACAGAGGAAATTTGGAAGAATAACTTTAAATCTTGCCTCACTCAGGATTTATTGTACTAACTTATTTCCAAAGTGCACATGGCTGCTTGGCTGAAATTTATTTAAAAAATATTCAACACTCTTCACTGCCTCATGACTGCAGCTGCCTCTTAAAAGGTAAAGGTTCCCCTTGACAATTTTTGTCCAGCCGTGTTTGACTCTAGGGGGCGGCGCTCATCCCCGTTTCCAAGCTGTAGAGCCAGTGTTTGTCCAAAGACAATCTTTCATGGTCACATGGCCAGCGCAACTAGACACGGAACGCTGTTACCTTCCCATCGAGGTGGTCCCTATTTATATACGCATTTGCCTGCTTTAAAACTGCTAGGTTGGCGGGAACTGGGACAAGCGATGGGCGCTCACTCTGTCACATGGATTCGATCTTACAGCTGAAGATCTACAGACCTTACAGCACAGAGGTTTCTGCAGTTTAACCCGCAGCGCCACCAGGTCCCTGCAGCGCCATCACGTCCCTCTTAAGAGCTCCCAAATTTAGATCTTTAGATGCCACCTGTACTAGCAACCTGCAAGATTTCACCAGGAGCAGCCATTCTCTTTAGTTTCATATTTGAATGGGTCTCCCCTCAGGCTTAGACCCACCAACCTTATACTCCATAGCCTCAAGTTCTTAACCTTTCACTGCTACCTCTCCTTTACGGTTGCCATCTTTTATTGCGCTCCTGCTCTTGTGCTTTTAACTTCAAGAAGCGAATGTTGTATAAAACACTCCAGCAAGAACTTTGCCTAAAATCATACACCCAGTTAATGCAAAAACACAGTTTAGCATTGCCACAGATACAACATAACAATAGCTTGCTTTACACATACACACCATTTACAACCATCTGAGTATCCAAAATTCACTTTTACGACCATTGTGACTGGCACTGAATTGCTGCATTGATATCACTAATCAAGAAAGTGAAGACAAGAAAGAGGGGAGAGATTATGGCAAAGGTCAGAAGAGAGCCCCCAGCCACATCCTTTCTTACTTTATAGTTCAGAAGACCTCATGTTCTTAGGCTCCAATAACCCCAGGCCCTTAAAGCTGATGGCCCTTAAAGCTGATGTGGCTGACAAGAGTGTAACAGCTGCAGCTTTTCCCCACACAGAGATGAAGAGCAGAGGAAAGCTGCAGCTGTTCCCTTTTTATGGGTCATGGGAATTTTAAAGGTGTACCAGCTTTGTCAGAAAAACAAACAAACAAAAATAGGAGGCACATGTAGGAAGTCAGCCCTTACTCTTCCTTTTCTTCAGCACAGGGGATAGAATTCTGTTAGGCTGTGCAGTGGACAACAGAAATGGCTCATCTGTTGTTGTGCACAATTTAGTTAGTTGTCCGTCACATGCTCTAACATGCCCCCACGGTCATGCTGCAATGCCTAGACATACAACAGATGACCAGGACAATTATGAAAAACATGTCCGCAACCTCCTTTACACACAGGGTATTTCACACATAGAATTTTGTCCATCTTTCAATCTTTCCTAACTTCTACTTCCCAGCCAGTAGTGAAGTGGATGATGTTCTCTTAAGCTTGGCTTAGGAGACAAGATCCAAGGGTCTTATATGGCTGCTTCAAAGGAAAACCAAGCTCTCAAGTTCGTCCCTGTGCCCTGCATTTGTCCCATTTGATCAAATGTACATACAGTCCCTAGTTCCCTTCTCCTTGCTGTCTACCAGCATATCTGTGGTGTACCGACTAATGTTAGACTATTTACCATTCTTTTTGCCATCCTCTCTATCACCCTTTTTACCACCTTTACTGACATCTGTTTTAATTTCCCTATTTGTTATGTATTAATTTATTTTTATCGTGTTTTTAATTTTTCCCCTCTTATATTGTTCTTAACCGCCCAGAGTGGCTTGGTTGCCAAATGGTGTGGGATATAAATTCAAATAATAAATAAATATGACCAAGGAGACCTGGGTATAAATCCTAACTCATCCATGATACTCAGGCATCAAACTGATATTAGAGATGGCCTAAATTCTAGTTGAAAGCATTAAACAAAACCCCACAAAGCGCTGTGTGCTTAGAACACAACGCAAATGTAGAAAAATGCTAATGCCACTTTAAAATATTGGCTTTTAATTATGCTAACCACCATTGTATGCTCATTATTTTCAACTTTAAATACTGTATTTCATTGTTGTATGCTGCCTTGGGTCCTTTTCAAGGAGAAAGGCAAGGTAAAAATATTTAAAACAAACAAACACTTTTATTAGACTACTAAAAATCAGTTAGTTTTCATGAATTACAAAAAACAAACAAACAAAAAACCACTTCTTCAGGCATGCACCAGTAACTTGTGGAGAGTGCAGAAGAATTATAAATGAATGTTCCAAAAATTCATGGCAAAAGTTTGCCAGGCATCTTCTTAAGATGAGTTTAAAGCTGGTTACAGCCGGGCTTTGGGGGTCGGTGATTTAATGTGCCACTTCTGGTCACATGTGTTTGGGAAATGTCCACTCAGTATTTCTGATATGCAAATGTTTCCGAAAGGTGAGCACACTTCCTGCATTTGTGAAATCAGACTTCAGAGGAATCCTATGCTTCAGTCTTGAAATAAGTAGTAAAATTAAATATAAAATGGAAGAGGGAAGTGAATGATTGATCATGCCAGCCCTTCCATCCTGTGGTGCCCTGTGCCACCTGACTGAACACCTTCCTTTCCCCTTATTTGCCTGCATCAAGAGCAACAGCAAGTAGCAAACATGGATGTTTGGGGAAAGGAGAGATTTCTTCCTTCTCTCCAACCCCTTGCCTGTTTCCTTGATATGCTGCAGAGCTGCACATCATGACACAAAGATTGGTGGCTCTTTAGATTTGAGACCTTCCTATATGCTACTGCCATCACAATGGCCTGTGGAAAGATCATAACTTCAAGGAGTCACTGCCAAGGGCGTCCGCCTGCGCTGTTTCTCTATGTGACGGAAAGGTAAGAGAACATCTTTTGTCTTTTCTATACTGGGCTGTCTGCTGCTGCCCATGACTGATGGCATGTCATGGAAAGGGATGGATGGTGGACAGGGGTGAGAATGGGAATCATCATTTTCTGAGGCCCTAGATCAGCTTGGGAAAGAAACAAATTAATTTTATGTTTTAAGAAATGAATGGGTCCATTCCTGGTTCAGTCAGCAGCGGGGATGGCTTATGGCCCAAACTGTACTGAAAGGATGCAGTTATACCACCAAAGAAGGGAAGCTGTTCCACTTTTAGTTGTAACTGTAATATAACAGCCATAGCTTATTAGTGTAAGAAGAAAATGCAAGTATATGGCTATTTCCATGCTCTCGCTCTCCTACTGGATACATCACGACAGTCCGTGAAGACAGGGTGGATAGAGTCCTATTGGTGGTCTGTGTAACGTGGCACAGCTAACACAGGCTGATTGATGACGTGCCAAGGCAGATCTCAGCTGTGCACTTAGTCATGTGCCTGTTCGCACAATCAAGACACACCCTAGCATCTTGCCAATTAACTGTAAAGAGCCATGGCAACTTATGCTAACTTATGCGAGCATCAGTAGGATTCGAGCCATTGCTTAAAACATCTTTGAGTACAGTACAATATAAATGCATTCCACTCTCATTTGGAATCAGGAAAAGGAACCTGTATTGAAATTCAACCATAATAAAATAAGTCTGAATGTATTTAACAAATTTGTTAACCATTTAACAAGCTTGTATTCAGTCCTTGAACATTAACGTAGGCACATCCATATATCTGCTGGAAAGGAGGTAAGCAGGAGAGGTAAAACGTTGTTGTTGATGATGATGATTCTTACAAAGACTGAATACCTTTATTAAAGCACTCACACATGCAAGTGTGAGTATTGTGGTATCATGAGGAAGTGACAGATGAGAAGCAGGATTAATTAAAATGATTAATTTCAATATTAATATACTTAATAGTTTTTAATATTGTACTCTGTTGTATGTTTCATTAGTCTATTCTGTTTTGAAATTCTCTAAGCTGCCTTGGATCCCTCTTAGAGAAAGAGAGCCAAGACAGCATGCAGTTCTGCTGGTCATATGGAGAACAGGGTTACTTGGAAACCCTTAACAGTCTGTTGACTGTTGACCCAGTCAAGGTGAACCTAAGAAAATGGAGGTGTTGCACTGATAAAGTGCAAAGAAGAAGTAGCAACTTTTCACCTACATCAGTGTACTCCATGCCCTTCAACATTTATCATGGAATACTTAGTGCTAGCTACCCCAGATGTTCTTGATGTTGCCCGTTACTGGATTAAAATTATCTTATATAGTCATTAATTGTACTGTGGTGCTTCTGACAAAGAAGAAAATGATATAAATTAAGTATAATAAACAAGTATATAGGTAAATGAACACAGAACGCTAGCTGAGTGATGCAGCAAGATGCTTTCCATGTTAGTCTCAGTGAGGGAAAATGGTTAATGCTCCATCCACCTCAGAGTAAAAAAATGTCTTGAGTTGGTACTGGGAGAGAAAGCATCAAGGGAATCTTTTGCTATGCTCTAAATCAGTGTTTTCCAACCTGGGAGTTGTGACCTCCAATGGGTTTGTGACATGTTTTCTGGGGGAATCACGGGTTGCTTTATATGTGTTGCAGCCCTTGCTAAATAATTTGTTCCTTGACCTTTCAGAGGGGGATATTAAAGCTAGTGTGCCTGCGTATATACGAGAAACAGGCCCTTTGGGGAAGAAAGAAGCTTCTACTTTCTGAGATGGGATGACTTTACCCCATTAAGAATGCCTTTTTATATAAACATGGTGTGCGGTGGGTGTCACAGGTTATTTGAATATTATAAAGGGGAACTGCAATTCAAAAACGTTTGGGAGCCATGGATCGAAATGAATTTACAACATCATTTGGTGTTTGATCGTAGAAATGCTTCTCTGTGTGTGAGTGTCTCTCTGTGTGTCTGTGTGCACACATGTGTATGTGTGCATGCATATAGGAATACCCACTTGGCTCCTGGCTCTGGCTATACTGACTCCTACCAACCATGGAAGAACCAACCATAATGGACCTCACTGAATGGGGAACTGAACTACCTGACTTCCATTGGCCTTTCCAAGTCTACCATTTCCTGAAAAGTTAACTCAGTTGCAGATCCATGTACTGTATTACAATATACCATCAGTACAGCTGAGAGCAGCTATGGGTCCCAACAGAATATGCCTCATCCTGCCACTCTGGAGTGAGGTGCCATCTGTTAATCAAACCAGAAGCCTGTCTCTGAATCTGGCTCTTTCAAGTTCAGCATAGCTGTTTCTTCTGCTCGTGTTCCTGGATTATTCAAGGCCAAATTACATAATTTCCAGAGTATATCTCCAATAAGACTGTGCTATCCACAGAGATTGGTTCCAACCCACCCCCTGCAGATGCAAAAACCCCAAAGAAGGGCAGTGCCAAAGAATGCTCCAACTACTGTACAATTTCACTCATTTCACACTCTAGCCAGGTTATGCTCAAAATCCTACAAGGTAGGCTTCAGCTGTATGTGGACCGAGAACTCCCCGAAGTACAAGCTGGATTTCAAAGGGGCAGAGGAACCAGAGACCAAATTGCTAACATGCGCTGGATTATGGAGAAAACCAGAGAGTTCCAGAAAAACATCTACTTCTGCTTCATTGAGTACACAAAAGCCTTTGACTGTGTGGACCACAGCAAACTATGGCAAGTCCTTAAAGAAATGGGAGTACTTGACCACCTTATCTATCTCCTGAGAAACCTATATGTGGGACAGGAAGCAACAGTTAGAACTGGATATGGAAAAATTGATTGGTTCAGAATTGGGAAAGAAGTACGACAAGGCTGTGTGTTGTCTCCCTCCTTATTTAACTTGTCTCTCTCCTTATTTAACTTATATACAGAATATATCATGTGAAAGGCAGAACTGGATGAATCCCAAACCAGAATTAAAATTGCTGGAAGAAATATCAACAACCTCTGATATGCAGATGATACCACTCTGATGGCAGAAAGTGAGGAGGAATTAAAGAACCTCTTAATGAGGGTGAGTGTAAAAATGGTCTGAAGCTCAACATCAAAAAAACTAAGA